AGCCTAGGTTTGAAAGCCATGCAAGTGATATCTATTTACTTGCATTTGCAAGCTTTCAAACTGCTCCGGTCCACCGAGCAGTTTGAAAGCATGCAAATGCAAGTAAATAGGTATCACTTTGGTGGGAATGTAAGTGTTCCATGTGTCTCGTGTTGTGATCCGCCAGCAGCCTACAGAGCTGGCAGGGGAGTCAGACAGTGAGGAGGCTGGGAAGGAACATGGGCCAGTCCTAGAGTCTGGGGAAGGCCCGGATGAGGGCTCTGAGTCGAAGGCAAAGATGGGGCCAGGACCACCTGGGAGTGATGCGTGGACTTTGGAGCCCCCAGAGTCGGACAGCAGAGAGGCAGAGTAACAGGAGGAGCCTGTTCCTAGTGCACACATGCGCAAGAGCAGCTAAAGCAAAAGGGACGACTCGGGAGTAAGGCCAGGAGATAATTGGTGCCTCCCATAAGGCTTAAAAGAGAAACAAAGGCACTTGGGCCTTTTGCAGGAAAGCAACATTGCTAACTCTGTTTCCAGTCAGCATCTCGTTTGTTTCTGAACTCTGTGGGGCTTTGCCAAGTAAGGCCCTTAGCAGGGTGTCAAAGGAGATAAAGGTTGGTGATTATCCTGAAGGACTTCTTCCGAAGAACTTTTTTGCAACTAATTGAGACTCAGCTGGGAATAAACGTAATTCTCAGCTGTTACAATAAAATAGGTTTTTTTGGGGACTAATTGTGTCTTGTAGTGACTCATTAAGCCTAGGTCACAACATCTCGGCATACAGTCATGCTGACCACATGACATGGCAATGTCTTCAAATAACTCTGGCTCCCTCCCTAGAGTCAGAATCGACTGGACAGGGTATACCTTTTATCATCTTGAAACTCAACATTAAAAAAAAAACTAAGATCATGGCATCCGGTCTCATCACTTTCTGGCAAATAGAAGGTGAAGAAATGGAAGCACTGTCAGATTTTATTTTCTTGGGCTCCAAGATCACTGCAGATGGTGACTGCAGCCATGAAATTAAAAGACAATTGTTCCTTGGGACGGAAGCTATGACAAACCTAGATAGCATACTAAAAAGCAGAGACATCACCTGGCTGACAAAGGTCTGTATAGCTGTGGTTTTCCTAATAGTAATGTATGGCTGTGAGAGTTGGGACTATAAAGAAGGCTGAGCATCGAAGAATTAATGCTTTAGAATTGTGGTGCTGGAGAGGACTCTTTAGAGTCCCATGGATTGCAAGGAGATCAAATCAGTCAATCCTAAAGGAAATCAACCTTGACTATTCTTTAGGATAGATACCGAAAGCTGAAGCTCAATAATTTGGCATCAAATGAGAAGAGACAACTCATTGGAAAAGAACTGAGGCTTCTGTTCCTTTTTACATTATTTGTAAATGCAATTATAAATTTTATCTTACTCTGTGATTACAACCTGTCTCCCTTCTTTCTGTAATTTATCCAGCTTAATCAAAACCCTGAATCATAAATTTATTTTTTCTGTTTTCTGCTAAAAGTCCTTGAGGTGTTGCCAATCAGGAATAAACATAGATATTGCCTTTTCTCGGCTCAAATTAGCCATCTCAGCAAGTTCTATTTACATCATCCATTCACAGTTTATCCTAGATGTTACCCTAATATCAGTAGTTGATCATTTGGCTTACCTCACTGGTGGGTTCTTGCTCATAAACATTTCAATGGCTTTTTCGTCATCTGGATTTACAGTCATCTCTTCACAATACTCTTCCTTCTCCATGGCTCCAGCTGCCCCCAGCTCTGGCCACTCATCATCCTCTGCATCGGAGTCTCCATCCTTTGAAGTAGGTCCTTAAAAAGAAAGAAAATATTTTAGAGGAAGCAACTTTAGATTACATTTTTCATTTAAATGAGTAAAGTAGGAGATGGGGTATCTGCTACATTAGAATGTCCATTAAATCCCAATGGTATTTAATTAATATCTACCTTACCTGTTAGGCCTACATAAATTGAAATGGGATTTTATAGATGCATACTTTATGCAAATCAACTAAATCACAATATATTAGAGAGTTTACCAAACCTATATAATGATTAATTGATTATGTGCCATGAAACATGCGTTGACTCTTGGCCACCACATAGATTTTCTCCAAAATGATGTCTCCCTAACCTGGTCCTTCAAGTCCTATATATAAAATACGTCATACAATAATATAAATACATAACAGCAGTTAGAAATCAGCCCTGTACTAGATATTAAAAAACAATGTTACATCGAATTTTATTTCACTCTCCGGAATAAAGAAAATAAGAGCTCTAGGTAACACAAGCCAGAAAGATTTCACATTTCTATTATTGACTGCAAAGCTAATCATCCTTCTACTAAAAAAAATGAAAACAACCCAGGAGTTATGGTCATAAGTTTAACTCCAGCCTCCCTCTACTGATAGTCTGTATGAAGGAAAAACAATGATTTTTTTAGTCGGGTTCAGACATAATTTTAGAATTTAGGCAGTTTGTGTTTCTCTGACAGTTAATCTCCTTGAGGGAGGCTGATCAAACTCCTGCTTGATCTCTCACAGCTTCTCATGGTGAGGTCTTGGTGGGGTCAATTGAGAGATTTATATTCTTGGTGGGATCAATTGAGAGATTTATATATCTTGCAGTTTCTCATAAGTGGCCTTTCTCTGTTGTGACTCTCACAACGGCATTCTGGAATCCCGGAAACCTATGCCATTATACCAGGGGTGAAATCCAGCAGGTTCTGGAGAACCAGTAGCGGAAATTTTTAGCAGTTCGGAGAACCGGCAAATACCACCTCTGGCTGGCCCCAGAGTGGGGTGGGAATGGGGATTTTGCAGTATCCTTCCCCCAGGAGTGGGGTGGAAATGGAGATTTTGCAGTACCTTCCCTTGCCACGCCCACCAAGCCACACCATGCCCACCAAGCCACGCCCACAGACAGTAGTAAAAAAATTGGGTTTCACCACTGCATTATAACTTTTAAAACCCCTACTAAAAATCTTATGCGTTCAGCCTTGCCACTCCGTGTAAATCTTATGGATTACTCTCTCCCTCCCCCCAATTTGTTGCACATTGTGTTTAAATCACTTATCATTTTCGGGTAAACCGCAGCAAAAACGTTCTTTAAAAAAAAAAAACCACGTGTTTTTCAGAACACTTTGGCTGAGCAAAGGAAATACTTTGTCCCGCCTTTCCAGCCACAAGCTTCCTAGACACACTCACCCAGGACCGTCGTCTTCTTCCTGGGCTCGTGGCTCCTGCCGGCGCCGTGCTCGGCCTCCAGCTCGTCTTGCTGGATGCGAGCCTGCTGCAAGATCCGCCGGGAGAGCTTCTCGTCCACATACTCGTCCTCCGCTTCTCCCCCACCACCACGCTTCCCTGCCTGGCCCCGTCGCTTGACCCTCGTGACGGGCTTCACGGCATCGCTCTGGGCAATCTGCTCGGCCAAGGGGACGCTCGCCGCCGTTGCCCCACCGGAGCCTCTCGGCCGCTTCACTTTAGGCATGTCCCCCGCCGATGGAGCACGCAGCACCGGGAAGAAATAGGGCTGCCCATACACGCATGCGCTCAATGCGCGTCACCCGGGTGCGGAGCTACAGCTGAAAACAGAGGTGACTCCGGAGAGCCTGGAGACTTTTAAAAACCTCCCCGAGAGATATAAGTGGCAATTTCCAGCTTTTTTTCTTGGAAGCTGTTTTTTGGTTATTATCTTCGCCTGACCTTTTTTGAGAAGAGCGCTGCATGTGGCATTGCAACACAGTTGCCATGCACTGGTCTCAGGGGGAAGAAGGAGTGCGGCTAGGCAGAATCAACGGTGGCCTTTCGTGTAGTACAGTGTTTCTCAACCTTGGTAGCTTGAAGATGGGTGGACTTCAACTCCCAGAATCCCCCAGCCAGCGGTGCTGGCTGGGGGATTCTGGGAGTTGAAGTCCACCCATCTTCAAGCTACCAAGGTTGAGAAACACTGGTGTAGTAGTCTTTGACCTGTCGAGAATTTAAGATGAAGGTGCCCGAGACTCTGCGGTGTATTGTTTATTGCGAATTGAGAGCACGCCGCACACTTGTGCTTAATCAATTCAGAACTGATTAATTGGTCAGTTCTGAATTGGTACTGATTCAGTACCAATTGGTGATTGGTACCAAATTACCCATTGGTACTGAATTGGTAATTCCTGTCGCCCCCATTGAAAACAAAGTAGCCTTTCGACTCAATCTAAAAATTATATAAGTTTATATTTGAGACCGTCGACTTGAGGAGAGGCGGGAGCAAAGCCCTTTGTCCACCTCTTTATATCCGTGCTCACTTCCTCAAAGTCACAAGGCGTTCAGATTGTCACTTGCGTGATCCTTAAGATTACAGTAGTGTGGTCGCAATTGCCCTAGATATAGTTAAAACCCCACACCCTTCTAACACTGATGATGTTACCTAGTTGGGTAATGAAACGTCTGCAAGGGAAAAAAAACCCCAAACTCAAGGTCCCCCCGGTTCAACCCTGACCTACAGATATTCTCTTCTATAGTTAAAACAGTCAAAGCGATACCTAAATGAAACTAAGTTTAATGTGCCCGTTAACGCCGAAGTGGGAATCCACCGGTCTCCAGGTAACAGACCAACTTAAAATGACCAAACTGAGTAATGCTGGAGGCGATAATTCAGCAATGCATGGGAGAACAAACCTCCTTCGCCTACTTTAAAATTTGCATTCCTCTCGCCTCCGTTAAAAAAGATACGCGCACGCCACAAATGTGGAGGCAGCTGGTGCAACTGAGGCACATGTACAAAGCACCACTTTGGTTTAATGTGCTATTATCGCAAACGACCTCCTTTATTTATTTATTTATTTAAATCTCCTTTATTTATTCTTATCGGGGTGTGTTTCTTGCAGAGTTAAGTGGGATTAATTCTCCCTAAATATCACAAAGGGAATAAGCAGCGTTTATTCAAGCAAGAGACGCTGCTCCCAAAGCCACGAGCGCCCCAGTCGTCGTTCGGCTACGTCACTTCCGCTTTGGTTTCTTCTGTTGGAAGCGAAGGCAAGGAAGGCGGGTCTGGCTGGGAAGTCGCTGCACGTTGAACAAGCGGAGAGGAAGCAACCCGGAGTTGGGGGCGCCCTTGGTGCAAAAAAAAAAAAAAAAAACCCGACCCCCATCGCCCGCGGAGGCCGTGGCAAGCATGGGCGTCACCTGGTAGGGTTATTTTGTTGATGTTACGAAGCTGATAATGTAGTGAAACGCTTTGGTTTGAGAGCCCTTAAATGTGCCAGGACGAGGTTGGCGCCTAACCGAAGAGGATCTGGGACTGTAATAGGTTTGTATCTTAAATCGCTGCCAATCGCAAGTAACGAGAGAGGCCGTGGAACAGCCCGAGGAAGCTGCAGACGCTTTAAAGAGACTTTTCCCACGGGTGGTGGAGTTTCTGATTCCTTTATACCCTCTTGCTGTCAAGGAAATATTTATAGCGCAAGATGCTCTAGACTACCGCCCGTTGCTTTCAGTCCGCTGGCTTATAGAAGGTGGGGATCGTCGCCCAACACACCCGGAGGGCGCCAGGGTTGTCACAGATCGCGATACCGAAGAAAAGACGCGGCTAACATGGAAAAAAAAATAATCCCCGAGAGCCTCACGTTCCGTGGTTTTATGATGGTTTGACGGCTGCTGCTGCTGCTTTTATTTGCAGCAACGGTTAGCTAGCCCACGGTCGCATCCTCAGCCAATTTTTTAAAAAGTGTTCAATTGTGGTGGTGGTGGATTTCCTAAATGTTCCGGGTATTTCCTCATGAGCGTTTACACCTCCAGAAATAGAATTGTGAACCTACATCTGATCTTATTCTATCAAATCAAAGTGTTATATCTGAATCGTTCCTTGAAGTTGCACCGGTTGCAGAGAGAAATAACTTCTTACGTGCTATAAATTTGCTTGATATATTTTTATTAAGTAATCCGAATCTAAAACTGCTGTAAGAAAAATATACTTTATTTAACTTTTATGTAGGCTGTTGCTCAAAAGTAAAACTAATTATATACTTGGGAAGGAGCATGTTTAATGTCGGCTCCAAAAATGTTTTTTGTGTACTAATGTATTAGTAAATCGACTGTGTGGGATTGTAGGCTTCATTGTTTTCAGTTTTGTTTGGACCAAACATAATTTTTATCTTTATTTTCGTAGAAAAGTATTTGGACAACGACAGACTCCAAGAATATGAGGCTATGGTTTAGATGTCATTTATGTTTAACCGGGGAAAATATTGACAGCTTAACATACAGAGACAAAGACTTCAGTCATATGCTGTCTTTGCCAGTTTGCTCTGAGTCCTAATGTATTATCTGAAGGGATCACATGTATGGCTTACCTTGTATTTTAATTTTGGCTTCTCAGGATCAAAAGGACATGGGTGGGAAATTAAAGTGTGTCTCTCTAGGTAAACTCTGTCTAGGTAAACTATGTTTTCTTCCTGTTCCTCAATTCATACTCACAGGAAAGGAGATAACGAGGACACAAAAAGCGTAAAAGTGATTTTGGACACATTTGGGCAACTGTGGCTTTTTACTATAGTGTGAAATCAGAAAATGTTATTGGCTAGTCACTGCGAATACAGGCAACAATGTTGCCTAACAGCTAAATCAATCCTGATTTGTCTGTTATTGGACATAGAACATTTTCTTGCCTATAGTTAGTACCAGATAATGTTTAGTGAAAGTGCTATTGCGATATAGAAGCAGTCTTCTCATTTGATGCAAAGTAAGGATGTTCCATTTCTTATACTTATTTCCTTATGTGTGTTGTCTCCCATTGCATTAAAAATAGGTTTTTTGGAGGTATTAGTTTTTCATAGTTAAAAAGTCATATTTCTTGTGCTAGTGTATCTCAGATGCCAGTAGCAGAGGGAAAAAGTGTTCAGCAAACAGTTGAAATCTTAACAAGAAAACTGGAGCTACTTGGTGCAGAAAAACAAGGAACATTTTGTGTGGATTGTGAAACCTATCACACTGCAGCCTCCACAATGGGCAGTCAAGGTGAGTTTTTTCTGTCTTCAAAAATTGGTATATTCAGATCGTTCCAGTACATTTCTATTCTTTAATTGGAATATGGAGACATTTAGATGCATCTTAGCAAGTAACTTTATAGCCAACTTTTTCTGCAAAGTAACTTTTATCATGCAAAGAGTAACTTTTGGACATAAATATAATAATTAATCTTAACTTCATATACTAATCATGAACTAATGAGGTTGTTAAGAAGCATGTTGGAAATCTAGTACATAGTGTATGTAAAATATTTTATCACACAATGCTCTCCTATTGGCTGTTTCATTAATTTGGATACTTTACTGAAGTATTGTAAGTTTCTGTGCTTTAGTTGTTTCTTTGTCTTACCTCAGTCATATGAAGATGACATACTATTAAGTCTTGGGCGATAGGAAAAGCTAATAGTTTAACAGGAATCTTGATATTTTACAGCAACGCTGCATTTTTCCCAAGTGCAAAAAAATTATTGTCTGCTCAAATGCACCTGGTCAATATCAAGCTTTCTTACTTCTTACCTGGTTGCCAGAAAGAATTATTTACTATATAACTTGGAACTGTAGTTGATCACAAACAGTAGCAAGATGTGGCTGAAAACTCAGTCTCAGTTTTGGGTTCCATTACTAGAAATATAATTTCCTAATGATTGGAAGGAATAGTTCCATTTATTTTATATAGGCCAGTAAACTCTTGTCTTACATAACCAGTTACAGGAACCGTATTTTGCACATTTCTGTTTGATATAATCCTTCCTAAAGAAGACCAGTGAGGATAACTGTCTGGAAAGTAAATCCTATAAGGAGAGACTAAAGGAACTGATTAAATATTCCTTGAAAAACAGTGACTGACATCTGAAGAGATGTCTCAGAGAAGAAGGCCATGATCATGTTAGAATAGAAAAAATGAAATTATCTTAAGTTACAAAAAGTCAAATTCTTTTTGATATTAGGAAAAAATTCCAAATGGTAAGAGTAACAGTGGAACCAGTTACCAGTTCTGCTCTAGAAGTATTGAAGAAGAATCTAAATAAGCTGTTGGGAATGCTTTAAATAGGATTTTTGGACAAAGCAGGATTGAACTCAGTGATTTAATTGTCCCGTTATAAGTAGAATGCTATTTTAATACTTTTCAGAACTATTTCTGCATTTTCATCCTGTTTTTATGTAAATAAATATGCTTTCCTTTTTGGTACCATTTTGTTTTAAAAGTTGCCTTCTATGTGCTCAATAGAGCAAGCAGAGAATTAACCTTTTATAAGGTTTAAAACACTGCAGTATTAACAACACTTATTTAGGGAGTGTTCTCCTGATCTGTATTAGAAAAGATAGGTAGATAGTATTTACCAGTTCTAGATGCTAGCTGTAAGGAAATTCATGTCAGGATTAAATATTCTGTTTAAACATTTGTTTATGTGGCTGTCCACAGAACATACTGCTGCTTCTCCTTAGTTTTGCTTAGGCCTAAACGTTCACAGCAGAGAAAATCCCCTTTCTTTCAAGTCATCTGGAAGCAAGCTCTATGCTTGTTTGAAAGATACATCCTTCACATTTAAGGCTAAAATCCATTAATCTGGAAGTAAATTCCTACTGCATGAAGTCTCTTCCATGTTTTGCTAAGTTATCTTCCTTTCCTGGGTTGTATTGTTAAGCTTTGCAGATATTTATTAAGGTTCTGTGCAAGAATGATTCCTGTCGGTTTTGTTTTCAGGCATCTTAAAGTATGCCCACTAGAACAGTGGTCCCCAACTCCTGGACTGTGGCCTGGTACCAGGCCATGGCCTATTTGGAACTGGGCTGCACAAGCAGCAGGTAAGCGTGCGAGTGCACACAGCTCCACTTGCATGAGTGGTGGGTGAGTGTGTCTACCACTTGCGCAAATGCAGCTGTGCACGTAAGCATGCTTGCTGGGGGGGGGCTCCCCCCGCTTCTTTCAGTTTCCCAAAACTGGAAAGGTTGGGGACCAGTGCATTAGAATGTCAACAGAAAAAAAAAATCAGTTCCATACAAAATAGTACTGAACAGAGTTGAACAAGCAATAGTTTTCTGAATTGAATAAAGTAACTCAATTGCTACTTTAAGATTCTAGTTAGATAAGGTAAATGTTCCTCTAGCTTAGAATAGTGTTTGAGGTAGCTGAATAACATAATTACATTTCACTTACATAAATCATCAGCAACCATCAAATCTTTTATGGAGAAAGAATCAGATAAAGATTCTGTAATAAAATCAAGTGCTTTGAAAAAGGGACAGTGATGTAACAGATGTTACAATTTTTTTGGTTTCTGAGAAAAAAGAAACAGTTTTCTGTTGTTTTGCTATTGTTTCAGGACAGGCTGCCAAATTGATGTATGTGATGCACAATTCAGAATATCCCCTCAGCTGTTTTGCTCTCTTTGAAAATGGACCATGCCTCATAGCAGATACCAACTTTGACATACTTATGGTGAAATTGAAAGGCTTCTTTCAAAATGCCAAAGGGAACAAAATAGAGAGCCGTGGCACTCGATACCAGTACTGTGATTTTTTGGTGAAGGTCGGCACAGTCACCATGGGGCCCAGCGCCCGTGGAATATCTGTTGAGGTAAGGGTTGGCTGAAATAAATAAATAGCATTATTAATATTTAGAATAATAGCTTTTTATTTGAGATCATATCCTGAATGCTCCATCATGCTGCACATATAGCATAGTTAGTGAAAGGTGACCATAGTATGTTGGTAGGGAACCTATCTTGACTAGAACAGCATGAATAAGCTTGGGATAAAACTGGAGTTTGTCTTGTGGCAAACTGGCTAAAATATTCAAAACTGACATCTGTGCCTTAGGATTATTAGCAGGGAATACTTAATGTAGCATGGATATGATTAAAGCTGATAACTTACGTGTTCCTCTTATTTACTATAAAGTGTTATATAAGAACCTGAATTGACAAAAGTCACCACCAGACTAGAAAGTTGACCAGACTAAGAGAAAGTGGAAGAATGATATAAATGTGGATGAAATTGCTCTGATCTTGGAGAGTAGAATATATACGTGGAAGTGAAAATATAGATTTAATTGTAATGAAAGCTGCCTAGAGTCTAAAATTTAGGTGACTTAAGTCAGTAAATAAATAACAGGGTTGGAGCTAAAACGTACTGTATGTTAAAAATTATGTTTTTCAATCATCTAGATCAGGAGTATCCAACCTTGGAAATTTTAAGACTTGTGGATTTCAACTCCCAGAATTCCCCAGCCCAGCCAGCATGAGAGTTCTGGGTGCATATGAAAATAGAAATTTGTAGGTTGGTGATAGTTGAAGGGTAATAATGCAAGAGCCAGGAATGAATTTGGGGGGGGCGGATTGCAACATTCCAAATGGATAGAATCCAGGGTTATTTCACTGACTTGCCTGAATGGGTAAAAAAACAAGATGAAATGACACAAAAAAATAGTGCAACGATAACATTAGAGATATATTGAGATCTTGAATATGCACGCTCTTTCGATCACAAACAATGCCATGGTGTTAGTTAACAACAAAATAGTTTGTAGTGAGTGCAGGTATTGTTAGAATGCTTAGTAAAAAAGTAGGAAATGCATGGAGAAATTTTAAGATATGTTGGTAGAGAGATATTGGGACAGTATAGGTCTGTAGCAAAGAATGAAAGTTTGTGAAAGGATTGCTGTTTTTTATTATAATTTTGTAGAAAATTTTAAAAACTTACTTGCTGAGTCATTTTATAAGATGCATATTTGCATTTTGAATCTTATCTGCAAGAAAGCCCTGTATTTGTTTTGTCACAGAACAGCAATATGCTACATGCCCAAATTTAAACGTAACTACACTTGGGAACATCAGTGTGAAAATTCCCTTTTCCCTCAAGTTTTCTAATTGTTGTTAGCTATGGAGCTAATTATGATTGATTCGTAATTTATTTTATTTTTTTTTTGTTATTGTTGTCAGGTGGACTATTGTCCATGTGTGGTAGCCACTGACTGTTGGAACCTTGTAATGGAATTCATGCAGAGCTTTATGGGAAATCATGCCCCCGGTATCCCCTCTGTGTTCAATAATAAGCATGACAGCATCTACAATCCAGCTGATACAATAGTTCAATACATGGAACTTTTCAACAAAATTCGCAAGCAGCAGCAGGTGCCTGTTGCAGGTATCAGATGAAGAAGTGTCAGAAAATGTTCTTCAAGTAAGCAACCACTTGTTGAATAGCAAATTCAATCCAGTATTCCAGATGGCAGTTGTTATCCAGCAAAGCAATATGTCTGTCTTGTAAATATCTTCTTGTTGAAGATGAATGCTGTCTCATATCAGACTCTCAGAAATGTGTGCCATAGTTTCTTTGCCCTTGTTTTAGATTCAGGGAATCTGGTCATGGAAACCAATATCTGTACTGTTATACATAGTTAAATAATTTGATATTAATGAAAACACAGAATCTGTTTCTATCGGTTTTAAATTGTTGATTAATTGTTATTGTATTCTTCTATCTAGTAGGGATTATTGTTTAGTTTGTATTTTACTCCTGCAAAACTTTTTGCTAGTTCTCACATAAATATATTAATCTTCCCAATTAAAAAGCTGTTAAAAGCTATTTTCTAATTAATTGAGCGAAGTCTTGATAATTAACTGCCTATGTACTGCAACTGTCTCTGTACAATAACCTTTCCATATACTCTGTTTGTTGAATTTTAAGTTGTTCGATGCAAGAAAAACAAGACTCTAAGTTTTAATGAGACCCTAGTAATGAATTTCCTTCCTAAATAGAAATGAATTTCCTTCCTTTTAAAGAGATAACCATAGCCTTTTAAAAAAAGTTCTAATTATCAATTGGACCAAAGAATTTAGGCATATGTTTTTGCTAAGGGGAATGGTAGCCATTAATAACACCTAACAGTACATCTTAAATATCACTGAACCCTAATATAAATCAGGTACACTAATATTTGTAGAATGGCTAAACATATGGTTGAACCAAGTTTCAGAATGTATTTTAGAGATTTAAATATAGAGATTATCTTCAATTCTGAATTGTCAGTATCAAATCAATTCCATATAGATTAACAACTTGGCTGTGAAAAAAAGTATATTTCAGTAATTGATTTTTATTGCCATCCATATAAAGACTCTGGTGTGAATTTAAAATGCAACCTGAGCTTTTTGATTCCTTGCATATGGGTAGCTGTTTTAACTTACAGAACTAGAGAATAAAAATACAGTATTTTAAAAGAAAGATTTCAGTTTTTCAATGTTAAAGTCATAAACTTGCAAATTTCATTAGGATTTTATATGGATATTCTTTTTATTCAGTCAGAGACTATATAGTTAAAGTAGTGACTCTTCTTTTATAACTGATTTTGGAATGTAATAACTTTTATTTGTCTATGCATAATAAGCATTGTCCTGTTGAAAAAGAGAGTAAACATTTGAAGTTTTGGTTTTGTGCTGCAGTCGTTAATATTTGGTCTATGTTTTTTTTCCATTAGAAAACATTAAAACTATATAGAATTAAACATTATGGTCAATATTATTGATTGGTTCAAAACAAATATTGCCCAAATTATTTGTTTTTATTGGGTAAGCAACTGTCATTTTAAGTCTATATGTTAAAACATTGAAGTACATAGAAATGTTTCTCAGTATTTTTAATCTTACTCATTGGCTACGAGCCCAGAAAGTTTTGACAAATTAATTGTTAATATATGCAGAAAATTGTCTGTATTGTAAGCAAATGAGTAATTTTAACGTAAGATAATTGAATCTGATCCATGAATCATATGTAACTTTAATATGTTGGGATTTTCGTGGTTGCTGATGAACTGCAGGCAAAAAAGACTGAAGACTCAGGCCTTTGGGTTGTTGATATTGTGCATTTAAAGGAGTTAAATATTTGTTCTAAATGTATATACATGGAAGTAAAACATTAAAAGTCAAAAAGACTGAAGAATGATACATGTACATAGAGCTTGCTTTTTACCTTTCCAGCCAGACTGCCTTTGTAAATAAAATCACAATATTCATATTTATCATGATCTGGACTCCAGCTTTGATAATTCAGTATGTAAAGGTATCCAAAGTATTATTTGATTAGATTGCTTTGAATGGGTTTACATTTTAAGACATGAGGATATAGATAAGCTTTGCTCAGCTAACTACCTATTTGATCCTTGGTCCTAATGGCTTATTAGATCTGGAATGGGGAGTTTAACTGGTTCAGGAGATTTTTTTTTAATCCTTACAAAACAATCATTGCATCACCATCAAAGACTGTAATGTGATAAGAGGAGAAATTGGCCTAGACTTTTTCCCCCTTCGCTAAACCGGGCGTGGGCATGTCCAGAGCGTGACACATCCAGCAGGCCTGGAGTTTGACAGCCCTGGCCTAGAGACTTGTGATCAGCATCCTCTTTCTGGGTCAGATTTAAAGGGTGGCTGATCAAATCCAGTCAATCTTGGATGAAATAAGTTTATTATTGCTGGCAGAGGCATTGTGGGCCAGTCCTCCATTGTTTCCAGGGTGGCCCCATGGGCCAGGCCTAAGCACTCTGCGGGCCAGATCCGGCCCCGGGGTCTTGAGTTTGATATTCCTGTAGTAGATGGTTGTTATGTCTGGTTGAGGTGTTCTGAAAAAGATTGTATTTCTCCTGAATGTCTATGGAGATTCTCAGTCATTCAGGTCATGGTTGTTTAGAACTGAATAAGCTTCTTGGATGAGAAGCAAAACGTTTTCAAGGGAAAAAAACCAAGAAAGTCCAGTTACCATTTGAAAAGCACCTTTGAGATATTTCCCTAAAGTATCAAGTTTGTGTTCTGGGGTGCTTCTAGATTTCTTCAGCAATTACAGGAACAAGTAAACTCTGTAGCACATAAAAAGCTTTAAGCATTTATGATCTTTGCACGGGATTGGTCTCATTTTAATTATACACAGCCTGGTAACTTCCTCTGGACTATTGCTATACTGTGAGGCTGCCATTGAAGATGGTCTAGAAACTTGATTCTAAAAATTATTGGAACAAGGTTCTATTGTTGAAATTCAGCTTTGCATGCAATATTTTCTATATTTATGAAGCTGATTACTAAGGGCAATAGATGTAGAGATAGCTAGCAAAAGTATACTTACTTTTATTTCCTTTCATCTTAAAATTTTGCATGTTTTATCCACGTGTAACACTCTATTTATAGTGGTCTTCTTAAGACTGTCACTTTCTTAGCCTCTCAGTTCAGTCCTTTTTTTCTTCTGCCTCTGACCAGCTTCTCACCTGACTAGTCTTCTCTATATGATGGACTGTGCAAGAGCACAGTACAAGTTATTAGCTATAGACAGACTTAAGACCCTCAGCTTCTTCTATCACTGTTATTTCCTGGATAAGTTTACCTTTGTTATGTTTCGCCCAAGGAGCTTTCTTACTAAAGTTATTCTGATGATTTTATTTTTTCTTCCTAAATTCTTTAACTGTACCTGTTAACCAGCAAGGGGGTTTTGACCAAGATGAGAGACAGCTTTCAAGATTAGGAAGAAAAAAGGTTTGTCTTCTTAAAAAAAGGTGCTCATTAGTTTACAAATAGACAAATTAAGCAGTCTGAATGGATGTGTTCAACACAGGGAACTGAATCTATTGAAGATGCCCTTCACACATTTGGGGCCCCAGACCTGGGGGCATTGGCAAGTTTTTAAGGATTTATTAGAAGACAACAGAGTCTGAGCCATTCTAATCTCTGAGGGAAGGATGTTTTTAAGAGCAGGGACTATACCAGAGAATAATATCAGTTTAATATAAAATTTTATTTGAATATCCTGGAAAAGGGGTTAGAATAGGATTATCGGGTCATGATGCAAAGCAAAATAAAAGATACAATACAGGACCATGTGTTCATTGACTCCAAGGCCACAAAACTCTTTTGGAGGGAGTAAAATGCGGGTAAACTGCAGGGACTATTTCAGCAAAGCAGCAGGATTTCTCAGCTATATAACTCTATAACAAGAAGCTTTCAGTTGCAAAGAATTATCAACTCATATGGATTCATTTCTGGAAATTTTAAAGCACTTAGAAAGCCAAAATAAAATATTATCTGAAGCAACTAAAAGAAGCACATTTTGCAATTTGCCTTCAAAACATCAGGGGATTAATATTAATATTTTTTGGACGGAAGAAACTAAACATTGACTTTGTTTGTAAGAATGTAATTTTAGAAAGCAATCTGAGAAAATAAGTAAAATCAGAAGCAGTATGATTTAAATTAGCAGGCAGGAAGTGCTTCTGGAGAAGCAATCTCCATATGAAAGACTGTTGCACTGTGTAGAAAAGGAAGAGATAAACTCCAAAGTGATGACTACATGACTGGAAAAGAAGTGGGAGCAAAGCCAAACCTTGTATTGCCAGAGAAAAAATCTGTACCATAAATCTTAATAACCTACTTAATGAAGTCAAATTCACTTGTGCACTAGGCTAATATTCTAGTATTTCAAGAGCTCAAACTAGTTTATTTAATTAGTGAAAGTTAAGTACCTGTTGTCCTTTGCAAATAGACAAAAACTAAGGAACAATTTGATTTGTAGAACTAATGAGAAACAGATATAAAAATGCTGATTCATGGTGTATTAAATACCATGTTTGGAAAACAGTCTTTCAATTACAAGAACAGACAAACTGTGGGTGTAAAATGATTTTCCAAGGAAATTACTGCTTGGTTTATCCAGATAATGGGCTACCATGTTCAATATATAACTGAGAAATTGAATACTGTAAAGAGTATTGGCATGAAAACTGTGTAAAACTATGGAGTCCAAAATTTTGCCACAGAAATACAGTACCAGTATGTATTTCAATTTAATAAAAGGCAAATTGACAAAGGAACTGAAAAGACATTGCTAGCCTAAGGGGAAAAAAATGTAATGAAAGCCACCCACTGGCCATCTAAGGGAAAAGTCAAAAGGATAGGACACCACCTATCTCCAGTCTATAACACAGCTCTTGCAGCAGTGCCAAAAAGATTCCACAACCAATTGCACACCAAGAGCAAAGATAAACCCCCAAGTAGCCTCGAGCTCTCAGAGACCAGATGACCTAACCAGATGATACTAACAGACCAGATGACCGCAAAGAAATACAATCCTTCCATCCTGTCAGAAGCTATCCTTCCATCCCACCACCCAGGCTCAACTCTCAGTGCCTATTATTCCTCCCCCCTCCCCCCCCACAACTGATGAAGTTTCTTGGATGAGAAATGAAATGTTTTGTACCTCAAGGAAAATAACAGTCCAGTTGCCTTTTGAAAAAGGACTTTTGAGACAAATATGACCTGGATGACTGAGAATCCCCACAGATTGAATCAAAAGGGTATTGAAATTGAGCATTGAAATTAATGCAGACATCTAGAATCTTGTAATTCAATGAAAGGACTTTTATTTATGGACATTATTGATGATTTAATGTTATCACTTTAATTACTTGAATCTGAATAGCTGCTTTTTCAAATTCTACTTCTGAAGCTTTGAATATGAATAGAAAAAATGTAACCTTTTATATTAATTTAATTCTTGATTTGATTCAGTATTGTCAATATAATCTAGTTCTGTCACATCTTAACCACTTTCTGTATTATTTAAAAACAAAATATTGGAATTGTTTCATAATCTATTACCCATTTGATGAGAAACAAAAATGTAATCCTGGGGTAAACTTTCAATTTGTCCTGTTTTCCTGCACAAGCCTTAATATGTTAATTTACAGCCAGGTACTCAAGCACCATGTTGAACAATTCCACAAATGTGTGTCTTATTCAGGAAGCTAAGGATTGAGTGAGCAAATTCTGTAATTCCTGGGGTTTTTTTTTCCAATCAAAACCATGATTTTAAACTTGGTTCAAGGTATTTTCAAATAATCCAAAGAGCAGCTTTGCTAGGTTGGTTTGGTATAGCTGCCATAAAACACTGATACCCAAATTCTAAAGACTGTCATTGTACTCTGACAGGTTAATATTTTGCTTTCATCAGCCTGTAGTTCTTCTCTACAGATTCTTGGTATTTATGCCATGAAGTTCTACAGCATTTCTGCTTTGTGTTCTTTGAAGCATATTTTCCAAATAGATAACAGGCTTGAGTCCAATATAAATTTTCTATGGATAGAGTAAGAGTCTCATTTGCTGTTTCTTAACTGTCTTTCTTGAAAAGTCTAGTCTACACATTGCAACAAATATTCTGCCTCTTATTTTAGCCTCTTACTTTAATGAAAAAGCTATCATAAAAACGATGTGAAATAGGTTTATTTGGGACTTGGCTTTGGTGTTTTGTCGGGTGTGATGATAGCCTTTCATTGAGCAGTACAGGTTAAAATTAAAATTCCCTTTTTAATTTTAATTCTTGCCACACAGAAAAAAGTTTCTCCCCTTCCCCCCAAAATACCCAGGGAAAACATCTGACAGAGGCGGCTTGCTCAGCATGTTTGAAATGAAAGCTGTGTGTGGCCCTTCCTCCTCACACTATAAGGCAGCAGCTAATAAACCAATGAAAGGAGATACAATTGGAAAGACCAAGTTTTCCAGATCCACTCTCTATGCTTTTCTAGTTCCTTAATGGGCCATGTCAACCACGCAAAAGCAGCTTTGTGATTTTTACAGACCTCTATTTTGATGGGTTTTTGATAGAGCCCTGGAAAACACAAGGGGAGATGGTTCAGCAGAATCCTTTGCCAAAGAGGTGGCATGAGGCAAAGGAAAGACAGGTTCTCCTTTTGGGGTTTGCTGGATATTGAAGGAGGGTTCAGACTCAAAGCCAACCAGTAATCTTTATTCTTAAATTAGATTATTTCAGTTGCCACTAATGCACCGTTTGGTTCTTGACTCCCAAAGAATCCCACTGGGTGGGCGGGTAAAGGCCTTTACATCTTCAAATTCTAGAGAGGAGCAAAGCTCATCCCACTGAGATGAAAAGGAATCTGGAAGGATGGAGGCCAAATGATTTTCCTTTTTTCCCCACAACTCCCCAACCTGTGTAAGGCATTTTACTGTCAATTGTATCCTTGAGTTGCCAGCTCTCAACCTTCATTGTTGCAGCTTCTGAACCTGCAAAGTACTGAGTTCAGCTGGATTTTAACATAGTTGTTCTCCTCAAGTACTTTGCTTTCCAGTTCCCCCTCATATAGAGGAAACTGAACTCTTATAAAACTGAGACATATAATTTTTAGATAAGATTTTCTAAGATTACAGCTATATCTTTCCCATATTATCATTTTCTTCTATATTTCTTTGTTCACCCCTCCCCCAAAGTTGGCCTCTTTTTCTCTCCCTTTCTATTCACTAGTTCCCATAGCAACCAAAACTATCACAGCCTGCTTCTTATCCTAGGTTAACTTGATTGGCCAATACTTCTTTACTTATACATAGTAGAAGTGAAAAGTAACTTTTATGTAGTAAACATTTTTTTTGTATGCAGACCATTCAGAAATATCATTATAGTACACACCTCTGATTTGTATACATCTGTTTCTGCTGCTTATTATTATTTATCTAGAAGACACAATAAAGCTGTATAGAATTACTTTCCTATTCTATCATAATGAGAAAATTTAGTAGGGTCAGATTGTTGCAGACCAATATAAAAAACTGCAAAGATCAATTTAGGTGGATCCACAGATGACTTAATTCCATACCTAAAAATTGTTCATTGGGTTGGAAAGTAGGCATTGGCAAAAGCCTACCTTAACACCAGTCGTCTGGTTTATAAGTAGCAAATTTAAAAATAATTCATACTGGACTAGGCATAAAGAAAAACAGGGACTATAATAAGAACACTACTAATTAAAATGTACATCTGTCACCACTGTGGCACAAGAATATATCTAGGAGATGGATTTTCATAGATCATTTTTTTAAAGAAGTACTTTTAGATTTACTATCTGAATTCAACATCTACCAATGTTAAAAAATGTACAATAGAGGTAGATGCTTGATAGAACCAATATGATCCAATCAACCTTATTTTGAATCAGAGATCTTCCTACAGCTGTTTACATGTAGGTCAGAAATAGCATACTTTATGGTATCAGAGTAATTGTGCAAAATTAGAGATTAGGTCACTGTGATATAAATCCAGCTCTCAAAAGAGGCTGTTCAGGATGTTAAAAACTGGTTAAGATACATATCATAAATCAGGAATAAGAATGGATATGCATATGGCACCAACATGTAATATACAAATCACAAATTACCTTTGTGCCATAGACTAAATACCAATATTGCAATATAGTTCTTTGTGGGATGACTGTCATGAAAATGTTATTCTAAAACAACAGTAACCTAAAGACTGTTAAATTACAGTTCATGTCTATGCCTATGTTGCATCATAATGCAGCTGCTTATGAAAGAAGCTGTATGATAGTTATTACATTTACAAATACCCAAAATACACACACACACACACACACACACATATAATGTATGTATGCTCTGATGTTAATGACACAAAATATAATAGTCATAATGAAATCTCATGTATGCATCATCTTATTGCAGATCTCTCATATGTACGTATTATGCAGCTACTACACTAGTGTTATCTCTGATTCAGTTAAATAGTGAATATTGTATAATAGTACTGAGTAAATCCAATCAAAGGATCAAAAACTACTATGATTCATTGTTTTAATTTTGATTCTGTAATATGTATTCAAACATGGCTATTCCTTTAAAGTGATATTCAAGAAATTAATTTAGCATCTATTCATGTAGGATTGCATGACACTGCAGGACACCATATTGCAATGTCTTAAAATCAATCCATTGTTTTTGTGTTGCTATTAACAGCAGAGACTGTCAAATGGTTTTAATCACTTATGTGTTCCATTGTCAGGTTTCTGTACCGTGACACTGTTGCAAATTGTGAAGCCTGAACAAGAGATATGGTGGTGAACTGTGTGCGAGTATTGAGGGGGGAGGAGTCCTGTTAAGAAAAAACACTCCATGCTTTGGAATGTGCAGTGATCCCAGATATATACAAAGCAAAGTTAATCCATTAGAAATGCTCCAAAATATAGTCAGCCTCTATCTTTATTAGGACAAATCAAAACAAAGCAAATTTGCAAATTATAACGTCTTTCAAGTTTTGAATAACTCTTCATTGAGCTACTAAGCAAAATAGATTTGGATTTTATGTTGGAATAGTGGATGCAGGTTGGAATTAGCTGTTTTTACTTCACTGTCATATCACAAACTATGGATCCTTTGTTTGCAATTCAGGGCATCATTTGGAAAATAAATTGACCATATATAGATCATATGTAATAATCATTAAGATTCAGTTTAACTTCATAAAGGATCACAAAGCATCACATTTACACTATACTGACCAGACAAGGATGTGAGGTATAATTTGATGGATTATTAGAAACCCAATAAATGCCCCATTTAATTACTGTAACATTTTCTTCTGAAAATGAAAATGCATTTATGTTACCACATTTTAAGGTTAATTTAATTTTAAGGTTCTTTTGAACAAGCCTTCTAACGTGCTACCTGATTCATGGAATTTTACAAGGAAAGGGGCAAAAAAATAACACAACCTTCGTTTCCCATCACTTTTGTCTTTAAAACAAAACAAAAAATATTCTATTGACAAAAAAATAAATAAAAACATAATACTGTTTGACACTAGTGTTGGGAGGCGTTTGTCTGGCAGCACTATAAAATTCTGGGAACACTATAAAAATTAAGCTACAAATAAGATACTGTAAAGAAACTAACCAACCAACCTTCTACAAAGGTTTTTTTTTCTTTTTGTATGATGGTGAACCCTCCCTATTACAAAAAGGAATATGTATTAATTGAAATTGATATGGGCTGTTTAAAGACTCCACTCTTCACTCACTGATCGCAGCCTGCCTGATTCAGACTAACCCATCTACAATAAGTCTTGCTCAAGCCAGACAAAATGTCGCATTTAGTCCCCTACAGATGCAAACTATATTAAAAGTAGATGTCATATTAAAACAATTGGGTTTTATTAATGCCTTTAACAAGGTAAAACCATTTCTCTCCCCCCCCCTTATTAAAACCCAAATATTCCCAGAAGAGAATGCAGCGCGTGAAGCACAATGCCTTCTAGCTAGACGAGAAACCCAAGCTTAACAGATTGATCACCTGCCAGGTCGCTCAAAGACCTTGCAAGACGGCGCTGGTTGTTATTATATTCGTGTGCTTACACCTGTGAACCTGTCAGGTAGCAACCCTGGTACCAAGAAGCCGTCGTCGAGCAGCAGATATTCGGCAGACTCCTACCCTCCCCGGGCCCGAATGAGCCACGCTCCCGCATACACAAGGCTCTCTACACACGTTTCAAGCAAAGTCTGCGCTGCTTGGAAGGTCTTGAGGCGAAATATCCCCTGGCAAAGCCCTCCGCGAAGCTCCAGAGAGGCGGGCAAGCGGAGCACTAACAAAATGGGCCACTACGACTTTAAGAGTCCCTTTGTCTCGGAAACATCCTTATTTACCCTCCTGCGATTCAACCAAACTTAACCCCATTTCCTCCCCCCCTCCCCGATTCACAAGTCGGGGGATGTCCCAGTTCCTGGGCGGAGCTATATGTACACCCCGGCTCCGCTTTTGAGAAACGGCTCTCGTCCAAAGCTTCGAGTTTGGAGAACGGAGCTAGGATTTCCCAGATTCCGCCCATGCCACCAGTCAGCCATTTCGTTCCATAGAAAAGGAGCCCGAGTTCCTTGGAGCGAAGCAGTTAGAATCTTTTTGATTCTTGAAAAGAACGCGCATCGCCCGACGCGTCACTCGCATAAAACCAGGGGCCGCTTCCCGCTTTTTCTTGTTACGTATATGACGTTAAGAAGAAAAAAAAAAATCGTCCCAGAAAACTCTCGACGGCTTTCGGGCGCAGACGGCGTAAACAAGATAGCTGAATAGTGAAAGCGTCACATGCCGGGGGTGGGACGGAAATAATGTGTGGCGGGCGCGTTATCCAATGACAATCAGGGGCGGAGTGAAGTTGGCAGCCAATGGCGGGCGAGGGGGGCGTGTCGTGTACCGGTTGGGGTGTCTCGCGCTTGGTGACAGCTCGCGCGTGCTGATGATGGCGGTAAATAAAGGGGCCGGAGGGGGGGCGGGGGCTTTACCCCCTTGGGGTTTAGACCTTAAATAGGGGGAAGTAGGAGAGCCCTTCCTGAGGTAGAAAAGGCTCTTTTATGCGTGGTTATAGCCGGTTGGGGAGACTACCCCCCAATTGTAGTGGAAGGTTTGAGGGGGCTCCACCCCTTTGAAGCTCAGATTCCACATTGGGGACGTGAAGGCTGTGCTCGTTTAAGCCCCACCTTCTGATTTGGAGGGAATGTCGCTCACGCGTTTGGGCAGGCCGGCAGAGGGGAAGAGGTCTTGACCCCCTAAAGAGTAGGGGGTGGGTGGGGAAGAACCTTTTCTTCTCTCAGCCCCTACTTAAAGGGGACAAGGAAGGTTGTGCTCACCGAGAAGGGGAAAGCTCTGGCCCCTCTTAGAGGGAGCGGGGAAGAAGATAGGAGCCAACTCTCCCAAATGAAAAGGTGAATAGTTGTGACAGGATTTGCCCGATCAAAGATATTGGCCAACAACTGACTTTTGAAGGTCTGAGACAGACTTTTTACTCTGCTTTGGTAAACAGGCTGTGCTACAGTGAGAGCTAGGAGTGTATTGAATCCATAGGCTTCTGTGAGATAGCTTGAGGATAGGGGCAGAAAAAAAAAGAGGGGGGAGAAGTAAACTAGTAGACATTAAACTTGCAGGATGCTGGAAGAAAGCCACTTTAAAGAGATTAAGAACTGCATTAAGAACCTGGTAGGTATAGCATAGTTGCTGAAAGCTAAAACAGTTGTGTGCATGTTCATAGTTGTTGCCATTTGTGGCTGGAGAGCAGCAAAAGAGTTGGAAGAAATAACTGGTAGGCAAAGTAGCAATGGTTTTAAGTAGTATATTGTTGGAAGAGATGGTATAACTAGTGATGGAATGGTGATAGGCAACAGGAAGACCTCATGCTGTTGTTGCTTAGTTGTGTGTACTTCTTTGTTTGCAAGTTAGAATCTTACATGGTCAATTTCAAGTAAGATGTTTGTAACTTCTTTTTTTTACAACATTACAGCTTAAGCACCTTAAAGTTACTTTTAGAATGTATTTTGTAATTTGAAGTTTCATTCTTATTAGCATGTTGATATAAATAGCAAGATTTGGGGAGATCAGGTGATAGACGTTATATGTCCCTAGCACTGATTCAGTTGGGAATTCTTGGCCTTTAAACATGGATTGAGCTTTTGTAACAATTCATTTTCAAATGCTGTTTGTTATATAGCTACTATGCTGTTGAAATTATTACTGTATTGTTAATACTGCATTTTCATCTAAACATACATTCTGATGTAATTATGTTGATACAATGGTTCTTTAATATCTATGCTATTTTTTATCATTGAAACATTTAAATATACAAGAAAAATGAAGCATTGTTTTAAAAAATTAGCTACTTGCATTGATAGATGGGCATGATCTTATAATGGTAAACTGCAACATAAGCAGAATCTCTAGCCACCTGCATATAAATACTGTTCTCTCTGTTAAAAAGTTTTAGAGTTCTTATAGTTTAAAAATGTATTGGCTCACTGATCTTTCAAAAGGAAGCAAAGTTTTTTGCTTATTTCATTTAATTTTTTTTTCTTTCCCACCCACATTTTAATAGAAAATGAGGTGGAGCCAAGTCTTCACTCTTAACTAATATGTTTTGTCAAAATATAGTATATAAAAAATAATAGCGAAGGTGTGTAAAATCAAGCATCTCTGGTTCTTTTATGTTTTCTCCTAAGTCTTTTGTGAAATCTGGTTCCCTTTTTTGGTCACAACCATTTTAGGGTAGAAAAACATGATTTCTACTCTTTCTCACTTCCCAAAATTAAATTTCATGTTAAATACTATTTAATGTTCATTTGTTTATGAACTATTGTTTTAAATTTAAATTAGAAAAATGAGAATGCAATTGTGGCAAATATCTGTAGCTTGGATGTAGGATGAGGGTTGAAGGTTCGTTCTCTGAGCTTGTGGGTTGGTTTTTGAACATTTTATTACCAGGCTAGGTAACATTTTCAGTGGAGTTAAGGGGATGTCAGTGTTAGTGTTTATAAACAGAAGAACACTGACACTGACATCCTTAAACTCCGCTGAAGATGTTACTTAGCCTGGTAATAAAACGTTCAGAAACCAACCCACTAGCTCAGAGAACGAACCTTCACCCTCAAAAGTGAGAATGTCATACTTCTCCACTTATGGATGATATATAGATTGAATGCTTAAAGTGCAGAATGTGGAAACACTATATTTCTAATAATACAATGTGCATTTTTAAATGTTAACTATTCATATTGATTTACCTGGTACTAATCATGAAAAAACATTGGTAATAATAGAGGCAAAATAGATGTGCTTAAACATTTAAACAAATACTAATGGGTGATACAATTCACATACAATTGCAAAAATAAGTTATACTCTTTCAGTTTATTGCTTTTCAATTATACTGTCCTCTTTTTAAAATATTTGTTACTGTTACAATATTGCATTTTAGCTTGCTTATACAATTGTTATAATGCAAAAGGAAGAATCAAAGCATAGAATATGGATTTTAAAAGTAGGGAAATATAGGGTCTTCCAGATATTGGATTGCTGTTCTATCATCCCAGCTATTGGTTATGATGGCTAAGGCTATAATCAGCTAATGTTGGAGTTCAACATTACCTGGGCATACTTTGTTCCTTTTCTAAATGTCATTTTACAAATTTAATTTTCCTACTCAAAAGCACCAATGGCTATTTCACTTTTTTATTCCTAATTGGCTTTACTTACTTAGACACTAGAGTCTAGCATGGTTCTAAGTATCCATGAATAGTATATTTTAGAATTGGGTTCACAGCAGTGAAGCAATTGGAATATTGAAGAGAGAGAGTTTATCTTCAGTTATTCTTTTCTTTCTAACAATTGGAATAGGTATTATTTGGCTAAGGATTTGCAATGCTGGAGGAAAGAGGTTTCCTCAGGGGTGATTGTATTAGGTATATTTTGCTGTGGATGGCACCCATAGGAAAATCTGTTCTGCTATTTTCAACGTATTAGTTCATCCTGGCTGAATAATTCTGGCTCCAAGCTGACATACACATTCAAAATGATCCCTCTAAGTATTTCTCAGTCTGACAAATGGTAGACAATACAGAAGCATCCATCTTTGCAATCATTATTTACAGCAAAAAGATTTGCAATGCAGAATTAATAAGAGTTACTTGTATAGAATTATATTTTCAGTTTGGAATATAAAGTCACAATCTCCTCCTAGTTATTTTCTGTGATCTATTTAAATTCAGCTTAATTGTAAATAGTATTTGGCTGTAAAGGCTGTTGATTACCCTCTTTCTTCCACTCCAGCCACTATTTCAACTGCTGAGATGTTGTTGTATTCCAAAGAGAGTTGATAGGCATGGAAATTAGAGGGGGCTGAAGGGAAGTACTGAAACTTGAATGTTATGTATTTGGGGACAAAAGGGTGGGTGGGCAGTCAATGAAAGCAACAGGAAGGAGGTCCAGAATAAAAACCAGAAACTTTAGTAGACGATTAATCAGAGAAAAATACTTAAGAAAATAAGCTTACTGAAGGAGTAGTGGATGATGTCTTTGTTTTTGAGGCAACGTAATTGCCATGATAACATACAATATCCTGTAAGAAACTATAAGAAAAGTAAGGGATAGCAGATGTGAAAGAGCACTATAGTGCTAAGAAATACTACATTTCACATGGTTTTTTTTTATCCTTGCCAGTATTCAAGGGTTAGCTGGATCTGCATTATCTCCAGAATCCACTAAGTCCCAAAATACTGCTGCTACTGGTTCTTTTCACAAATGGTTCAGTGGCATTCTTAAATGTGCCCTTTTGTAGCAAATTTAAAGATGGATGTTGAAAATGCTAAGAGAAAAAAAAGGATATGTTTAGAAACCATTCTCACGTATACAAACAGCCCTTTTAAGCAGCTCATAAAAGGAAGATAACTTTATGTAACCCATTATCAGGTGTTTGCAACTTGGGTGCAGCCCCTCTACCTATCCAGACAGTAAATAGAAGCTAGGTACTGTAAGTAGTTAATGCTAGACTCTCTAGAGAAAAATATCCATAAAAGTCAGTAGAATACAGACACATAGGTTTATTCTTTCAATCCTCTTTCAATAGAAGTATTTCCAGTAATGTTTCATAACTTCCATCTGTAATGATTTTGAACATTTCTGTTTAACAACTATTTAGTATATAACATTGTATGAATATTGCTAAGATTTCTTCAAGTTGCTAAAAATTATAATAGAGCAAAGCATCTTTGTGAATATTATTTCAATAAATTAAGAATAAGTAATCTTGAAGGAACTGTGTCTACCTTGACTTAACTCTATTTATACTCTTAGTTATAGTTTGATTTGGATGATGTTTATATTGCATAAAAACTGTTTTATAGTCGGGATTAAAAAAGGAGATAACATTTTGATCTATGGAAACTGTTAGATGAGAAAATCTTCATTACACCTTACCCTTTGTATGTTTAATTGTCAATCACTGAATTATTTAATAAATGTAATTTAAATTCAATTTTTAATCTCTGAATGTAACAGACTATGATTGAATTTGTGCTATTTTCAAGTTTGGAAATTCATTTATATTTGTTACCTTAGTATTTTTAAATGTTTATTCTTAATTGGCTGTGCAGTACATTGCATGTAATGTGTGGATTATAGTTACTGATAGAACTTGTGCATAATTGGCCCAGTCCTTTGCAAGCTAGTTGTGTGTGTGTGTATCCTTAAGAGCTGGTAATATAAAAGAAATTGCCACAGATTTCTCTGTGCCTAAAAGAGTGAGATTCAGCAGTTACCAAATCTATTGTGTCAGGATAGCAGGCAGTTCTTAGTTTTATCTAGTGTATGTTATTCTCTTATTGAAAATTATACAAAATAAAGCTCCAGAACGAAAGTATATGTTAAGAACTGTTACATATGACTGGAGATGATAATTTGAGGAGCTGGTGGATACAGTTGGAATTTGTGAACATATCAGGGGAACTCTCACAAAATGGCTGTTGGGGGAGCCTTTTCTATTCACAAAATGGCTGTCATAATGTACCTAGCTGGCTACAGAACACCCATTATAGGTAAATGGGTCAAAGACAAATTGGTCAGCTAGCTTTTCCTACTAATCTCCCCCTTCCCCGGATACTTCCTACTGTCTCAGGTTTTTGTTCCTTTTCTCTGGGCAAATGGACACATTTCCATACAAATACATGGATGCAACCACTCTTTATGTTTCTGTTCTACAAGTGCCTAGGAATCTTCTGTGGAGCCCAGAATTGTCCTTTTAAACAGATATTTATAAGAAGCTTTGTCAGCTTTCAATTTCATTTTCATGCAGTGTTAACCCAAGCCAGATTTAAAATAGCTTTCCCCAAGGTTTATTGTTTATATAACCAATGTACGAAGGCAGAATTTAGAATGGGAT